CCCCGGTCAATACCTGGTTGGGATTCGTGGTGGACCCCATCACGCCCTGTGTGCTGCTGGCTCCAGTCAAGCACGTCATAATCCTGGCCACTCTCAAACGGTTGGCCCAGGGGGACATCTTTACCAGCAAGGAGGTGGAACAAGCCCTGTGCCGGATTCAATGGGCTACTTCGGCGTGTCCATTGACGAAACCTTTCCTCCAGCCCTTCTGGAGCTGGAAGAAGGCCTGCACCACTTCGGGCAGGCCACCGAAACTGGTTCGTGCTCTGGCCATCCTTCTGGGGAAGCTCTTCAACCAGAGGTTCCCACTGGCATCTCCATTTGCTCCCACACTTCCATGGTCGGGGGCATCTGATGCGGGAGCTGGCAAACAGGCGGACCATGCATGGGTTGGTGGTTGGTGCTCGGACGTGCCCAACCCCGACAAGTCCCGAGTGAAGGGGTTCCAACACAGAATCACACCGGAGGGCGAGCCGTGGGCCTTCACTACTGGGGACCCGCAGCGGGCGATAGCGGCCTTGGAGCTCTTCGGCCTCCTCCTTTTGGTGAGGGCTGTTCTGCTTTGTGCAGCCGGCTCGGTTTCTCACACTAGGATTCTGGTTGCTAGTGATAACCGGGGAAACGTTTTCTCCCTGCTTAACGATTCCACTCGCAGGATGCCCAATGCGGCCATCCTCATGGAAATTGTGTTAACACTGCATGACCACCAGGTCATGTTAGGACCGTCGCATGTGAAGCGCGACTTTAACACATGGGCGGATGAACTTACTCATCCGGACCCGCAATTTCCGACTGAGAACCGGGTCTTCCCCTCAGTCGAAAGCGAATTGATCAAGCTGATCTTCGCTACTTTCCTTCCTCACCCATGATGCCGGGAGGCATCCGGTGAGGTGGGAGGATTCCTCCCTCGCTGTGGGAGTGGCATCAATTCTACTCCCATCAGCTGCTGAGGGGAGCTGCCCAGTGGAGCTGGGCAATCCTCCCATTTTGGCACTAATCCTTATGCGGCGTAAAGGATGCACCGTTCGCGATTAAGGTACCAGTAGCACCAATGTGGGGCTTTAAATAAGTCACAGACACACAGACACACAGACACACAGACACACAGACACACAGATACACAGACACACAGACACACAGACACACAGACACACAGACACACAGACACACAGACACACAGACACACAGACACACAGACACACAGACACACAGACAGACAGACAGACAGACAGACAGACAGACAGACAGACAGACAGAGAGACAGACAGACAGACACACACACACACACACCCACTCACGCACGCACGCACAGAACGCACGCACGCACGCACGCACGCACGCACGTACGCACGCACGCACGCACGCACACAGACACACAGACACGCACAGACACACAGACACACACAGACACACACAGACACACACACAGGCCACACACACAGACACACACACACAGACACACACAGACACACACACACACACAGAGACACACACACAGACACACACACACACACACACACACACACACACGCAGACACACACACAGACACACACACACAGACACACACACACACACACAGACACACACAGACACACACAGACGCACGCAGACGCACGCAGACGCACGCAGACGCACGCAGACACACGCAGAGACACGCAGAGACACGCAGAGACACGCAGACACACGCAGACACACGCAGACACACGCAGACACACGCAGACACACGCAGAGACACGCAGACACACGCAGACACACGCAGACACACGCAGACACACGCAGACACACGCAGACACACGCAGACACACGCAGACACACGCAGACACACGCAGACACACGCAGACACACGCAGACACACACAGAGACACACAGAGACACGCAGACACACACGCAGACACACAGAGACACACAGAGACACACAGAGACACACAGAGACACACACACACAGAGACACACAGAGACACACAGACACACAGACACACAGACACCCACACGCACACACACACACACCCACACGCACACTCCCACGCACACGCACACGCAAACGCGCACGCGCAAGCGCACGCGCACGCGCACGCGCACGAGCACGCACAGCGCACGCGCACTCGCAAGCACACGCACAAGCACACGCACAGAAACAGAAACACGCACAGTCCCACACACACACACACACACACCCACCCACCCACCCACCCACCCACCCACGCACGCACGCACGCACGCACGCACGCACGCACGCACGCACGCACAGACACACACACACACACACATGGCTTCGCCAACCAACTTGACCCTTGTCAAGAGACGAAGGTGACAAGTCACCCTCGTGTAGTGCTTGGCAGACACTCCTGCGTATGACTTGCCTGGGGACGGATTAGCATGTGAATGTGACGGTATGGCTATGAGTCAACAGCAACAATAGTTTTTGAGATGCATTCACAAGGGAGCCAGCAGAACCCCGACCCTGTTTGGACATACCCAAATAAGGTTTGAATGAAAACCATGTGGATCCCATGTTTAGTGCATTGGTTTCATGGACCCAGCATGAGCCCCGTGCTATTTGGGTAAGTACTTTTTGAGTGTATCCTTTCAGTAGATGTTCAAAGAGAAAAGCAAGGAACGTCCCCCTTTGTTACTGTGGCTTCCCTGTAAACAAGCCAGCCAGCGCCGCCTCCCTCTGATTTTTATACAGCTCACACCGGAAGACTTGGGTGTGTTTTATTTGGAGGGTGCCCCTTCGTGGCTTCAAGTGGAAACCAAAAGGAACACCTCCATTCTGGGGATCCCCCAAAAAAGACACCTACTTGTGTTCTCTCGAAACACTGGTCAAACCGCAACTGCCCAGGAGGCCAAAGTGCACTGCGTGGAGTTCGACACGCGCCTCGACCGGTTGATACCATTCCTCCCATGGCGCATGACAGGTTTACGGGTCCGGTCAAGATTGATCTTCCAGCTACCCTCCCACAAGTGCTACGTTTGTGGGAGACAGGGTAATATCAATCCACTAGTGTCCGTCGTCAAGGATCTAGTAACCCATATCAATCCAGGTAGAAATTAAGGTGTGGGAAAAAGCAGGGTAGCGCCATTCCTCAAGCTTCTGGTTTGCAAGAACCCAAAGTGATTGTATCAATCCACTTATATTGACAATTCCTCAAGCTTCTGGTTTGCAAGAACCCAAAGTGATTGTATCAATCCACTTATATTGACAATCCTGGGGTGTGGGGAAAAATATAGTGTCATTCGTCAAGGGTCATGTTTGCAAGAGCCCAAAGTTAGTATATCAATTCACTTAGCAAGATCGTGTCAATCCACCTAGCAATCCTGGGGAAAGGAGGGTAGTGTCATTTATCAAGGATTCGGTTTGCAAGAACCAAAAGATACCAAAAGCGATAACGTTGATCCTGTTACAGCAATCCTGGGGTGAGGAGCTGGGACGAAAGACTTGGGGCCAAGATTGATGTCGCGACTCACAACGGGGTGTTGCGATTTTCTGGGAATATGAGCTTCGAGAGAGCAAATGTAATCCGACTACCCCGCCTTGCAACAATTATTCTATTGAAACCAATCATATTCTTACTGCCTGAGAGGGTCCCAGCGGGCTTGTTCAAAGGCGTCCGCCTTTGCCAGGCACAAGATCACCATTGCAATCGTTCAAAGAATTGCGCAAATAGTTTGTTTTAGCGGCATTTGCAAGTGTAGCTTGAGACTAGAATTGACAATGAGTGGCATTAGTTTTACATCCTGCAAAGGTTTTAACACCTTGCAGTTGGGCGAATGCAGATGGAGCAATTTAGTCACTCCCTTTACCTACCAGCATGGAGGGAACTGTGCCACCTGCTTTCACCTTGGTGTACCCATGAAGCTTCCTTTCACAAGGCTGCCTACTTGGCAAATTATTGGAACTGCTCTGGATGTAAATGTATTCCCTGGGCTTTGGCTATCTGGTTGTGGAAGTGGTTTACTGTGGTTTCGTGTTGGCTAGCCTTGGTTTGGCGCAGCCCATGGTCGCAAGGGGCCCGTTGGATTAGTTCCCACCAACGACTATTGCAAGTCGGATTGGGTTTCCATCCCATGAACCAATACGTTGGACACATGGTTGGTTTCCCCTCAACTGCGGTCCATTGCTGTTGAGTTTCTGCTAGGCCCAACCTCTTCTATTACGACGAGACATTGCAGCGATGGTGCGAGCGCGGCCGTGAACACCTCCAGGACCGGCAAACCTGTGGGAGGCCTTTGGGGTGTTTAAAGCTTAAAGGGACACCAAAAGAGACCAACCAGTATCAGTTCAAGGGGACAGAAGGAGGCAGATGCTTAAGGAAATCGATTTGCCTGCAGTATTGATTCAAGCCGCTGCGTGTTCCACTTCGCCGGTCACAGGGAAACAAGGGCATGCGGGTGTGTTGCCTGTGTTGAAACGTTGAAACGGGAATCTATTGAAAACCGGACCCTTTTGGCTCCTTAATCATTCGGAAGGCACATTCTGACGCCCCCTTCTCCTCTGCAAGCGAACAAAATCGGTGGTCTTTTGGGTGACCTTAGCCCGTAGAGCGTTTGGAAAGAAATGGTTTTCCGTTAATCCTTCAAAAGGTTGGGTTTTTTGCTAGGGGGGGAAGAGCAGCCCATAATGCACTGTTGCGGTTCAGTTTCAGAGCTTGGGCGTTCTCATCAGCTTCTACGGATGTGAGCATTTTGTTGCACTCTCATCATTTAAGTCTGACCAAACACCAGCGTCGGTTTCATTTTAAGCCTGCGAACCCTGGCAACAACGCGGGAACACATGCCTGAGTTGCGCGACACATGCCTTTTGACTTTTGGTCTTGTTGCGTGGTCATGGCACACCGGAAAAGGTAAACTTGTTTCAGGGTCCTTTGGCCACTTGCCACTGTTTAGCTTTTGCAAAGTGGGTCGGAGGCTTGCCGAGTTACATCCAACCTCTGACCCCCCCTTTCGCTGCACGCAACATGAGCTCATTTGCCGCATAGATCCCTTATGTGAAGGCGCGATGTTCACAGCTGCTGCCTTCACCTCTCATTGGCTGAGAAAAAAAGGATGAGCAGAGGACGGCCATTTGCCCAAGCAACACGGCAACCGGCGCTACAGGGAGGTTTCACAGCGCCAGTCAATCCAAAGAAGAGACACCCCTGCTTCGCTCCTACAGGATCATCCCTGTTTTCCCTTTTGGTTTTCAACATCACCTGACCCACAATCAAAATCCGGGTAGATGAAGGTTACTAAGGGACACTCCCGACCATAAATAGCTGCGGCCGCCTTCTCAATTCTTTGCGTGGATCTGGGTAGACCATTTTGATACCGGGTTTCCATTTTGACTCACCTTTCAGGCGCTGAAGTGAGTTTCCTTGACGTTCAAAGGGGACATTGGACCCTGTAAAAAACCAGCAGGAGGACGCCATGCTGCCGCCACCTCCGGCGACACCGCCCAAGGCGCCGCCTGCGCCGCAAGATGCGGAGGTCACGGTGTTGGAGCGGCTCATGGCGCCCCCGTCGGTGTACAGCACGAGGATCATGAATCTGAGGCCGGGAAGAGGCAAAACCGGAGGAGTTCGCTGAAAAACCTGAAGTTCTCTCCAAAACTGGGCGCCAGCCGTAGAAACGAACCAACAACAACCGAAAACAAACATGAACCGGCCCCAGAACCAGGCCCAAAAACCTAGCAACGAAGTCCAAAACCCTGCACCAGCATGAACCAACCCCAGAAAGTTAGGCGGGAAGGCAAAGAAGGTGGAACGTGAACAAATGTCTCAGCCCTACCGGAATCAACGAAACGGACGCCCTTTCTTGCTCGAATTGAAAGGGGAACTCTCCCCAAGGAATTGTCTCCAAATTGGGTATGGACCTGCAAATGAGAGTCGGTTTCCCTTTGGCTTCACTTTAGCGAACGACCCAAACAAAGACAAATTTAACAATTCACACCCGAATGTGAAGCGAGGTGATTGCACGAGCACCCCAGAGTGTATAACCCAGTGTATCCGCGCCATTCCCGTATGCAGTCTACGCAGGGCCCCCCTCCAACTAGACGGGTAACAGGCAAGGAGGAACGTTGTTTTTGTTGGTCAAGTTCAGAACCAAACCCGCACCAAATCAGCCGCCCCTGGCAAATGGGGCCTGCAGACCTGGATCATATGATCACAAGGTAGAGAGTGCAGCCAAAGGTTTTTGTTTGTAATCGTCTCTTGTTCTATCATGTCGAAGGGGCCCATGCTGAGTCTTCCCGTAGGAAGGAGAATTCCCGCGCAGGAACAATGAGAAGAAACCGTCGCCCGCTCGAATCCGCCCCGGGATCGTCTTTGAAGACAAAGTGGCGGAGGCACCGAGCGGGATGTGAGAGTGGATCTGAATGGGTCCAAGCTGACCTTTTCTTTTCAGAGTTGAAAGACAAACGGACAGGTAGCAGCATCACTACCCCCGAAGTAATGTGTGGAAATGGGGGAAGGGGCGAAACTAACCCTTTCTCTTGTACAGTTTCGCTTTGTTGATACAAGTAATGAGCAAGAGTCCCACGTCAAAAGGAATCAGAAGGCACAGTCCAGGGGACGAAGGAGGCCAAGGTCGGGCATTCTGCCTCCCAGCCGCATGCTTTGGGACCAGCTTGTTGGTCCTAAGTCGAAAGAAAGTGGGTTACAAGCACAGGTGTCAAGACCATGGTTTAAAGGGTGTGAGTCCAGTCGCCCAATGGCCTTTTGGCAAGTGCACATCTGTGCGTGTCTGCTGCCTGCCTGCTTGCTTGCCTGCCTGCCTGCCTGCCTGCCTGCCTGCCTGCCTGCCTGCCTGCCTGCCTGTCTGTCTGTTGGTGATTGGGTGTGTGGGTGGGTGGCCGGGCGCTTGCCGCAGGTGCAAGCAGAGGAGCAGTTGCAGAAGCCGAAGCAGCAGCTTGGCGATGGTTTTAGTTTAGTTTGGTTAAATCGCCCAATTGGTTGGTTGGCTGGCTGGTTGGCCGGCTGGCCGGCTGGTTGCAGGGGCTCTTTGAGGCCAAATACAGGGGTAAAGCACATCCTCACAAGGTACCTGAGTCAACTAGGGTCCAATTTTGCTATTCCTGACGCGCGGCCCAAATTGAGCCTGGTTGTCTCAACAGTTGTTGAAACCCTGTTTACCCTCCACAGGGAATCCATGTCTACCACCGGGTTCCATTTGGGTTGTCATTTGAACCCGGGTCTCCATTCGGACGAGCCGTGACTTGCTTCAGATTGGTGTGGGTCAAAATTCACCCACCAGAAAACCGCGGGGTGTTTTCGTCTTTGGTTCCATTTCCCAGGGCAAGCCATTTTTGGGAACCTATTTTTGGTACCAGTCTGGTTCCATTTTGGTTCCATTTTGGTTCCATTTCCCAGGGCCAGCCATTTGGGGTACCTATTTTTTCACCCCCCGCCAGGCTGGTCTGCCTTTCTGATCCGAGGCCGAGCCCCTTGGAGCGCCAGCTCAGGGCGCTGCAGCACCTGGACTTGGAGCTTTGCGCCGAGGCGCGCGGAGCGACGAACTCGCGGCTCTGGAGATGAAATCGGATTTTGCAGGGAGGAAGAGTGAAGGTAGGAAGAGTGACGGGTGAGGCTGACGTCATAGCCACTAGACCACAGGTGCCTCTGCAGTCATCAGAAAAAACAACTTTGAGAGGAAGAGTCAAGGGGGTTGACATAAAACAGACGGGAGGAACGGTGAAGGAAGCGGATAGGAGGTGACAAAAAGGGAGTGGGCGTGAACAGCCCTCACCAACATAGTGGTTGCATTTGGGGGCTTGAACTGCCTTCCGCCTTACAGCTGCATTCATACTGTGGATGTGAACTGGCCCAACTGTAACACCTCCGGCCTAGGCCGACAGCACCAGCCATCCAAAACGGGATCCACATGTAAATACTGCGGATGGACGAAATCCTGCACCACCTAAAAAACCCTAATGTTGATTCCCCTGCAAATACCGACAAACAATGGTTTCAACCATGGTTTCACAGTGGTGCGAAATGGATCTCGCAACCATCCACAGTATCACATGTATGTTTGTCTGCAGCCTTTGTGAAGCAATTGCGTTGGTTCCATTTGCTTAATGTTTTTTGGGGGTGCCTTGGTCCAAGAAACTGTGAGGGCTTGGTTTCTCCCAGGGTGACTTTTTGTTCTTTCCCTTTCTAGGTTTTGAAGATAATCGATTTCAGGTTCTCTGGAGAACGGTTTGGACGTGACTTTTGTGGATCCACCTTTGTAGGACATTAAACGAGTAGGGGATGACAGGGGGAAAAACAGGTGAAATCCACAACAATCACATCCAAAACGTTTGCCACAGGTTCCATTTGCTGAAATGACTATTGTTTATGTTCCCTGGTTGGTTTTACAGGGAGTCTCCCCCCCCCCCCTAACGCCCTAACGGTTTAGGCTGGGTGCCGGACGGGAACACTTTGAAACCATGGGAAGCCATTGCTCGTTGGTATTTACAGGGGAATCATTCATTCCAGGGTTTCTTAGGTGGTGCAGGAATTCGTCCATCCACCAGTAGTCCAGACGCGCCAGGTGTGCACTGCCTTGGACCGGCTCAGCTTTGATGACCTGGAGCAGCCGCCCGGTGAAGCCTTTTTAACTCCCAAACCCGAAAAACCTGTAGCAATCGAGAATCGCTCACTGGCTTGCTTTTGGGGACGAGCAAATGAGGAGGGGTCATCTAGTCTACCCCAAAACCACCAGCAAGTTGGTGGTGACTCAAATTGCCGGGGTCTGATCAATTGTCCATTCAACCAGTGATGTATTTTTGGCTCCTTGGGGGGCAGGTCCCACGTCCTCGCCAAAAAAACGAGGAGTCTCCGTTGCGTTTTGCCGTTGCCGGTACAGAAGGAAACCAAGGGAACCATAGGAAGACTGAAAGGCAGCTGATTGCTTCTGGCTTGCCTCGGATCCGCTGCGATTTCCAGGACTCGCCAAAAAGGCCACTTTGCTGTGGGTCAAAAATGCGTACACAAAATGGAGCCCTGATAAATGGAACAAAAGACTAAACCTATATCTCAGGCTTATTCATCACCCATTTGCTTTTTGGCTTCCATTTTTCCCTTTAACCCAACTTTGATTTTTGGTAAGGTCTACGATTAACAGAGTCTCAATTACTTGGTAAAGGCACATGATTGAAGTTCACTTGACATCCAAGCCATCCATGTGTGCTTGCTTGTTTTGTGGTGAGTGTCCCCAAAACAAGAAATCTGTTTTACTTCTTTTGTGGTGCTGTTCTTTCTCCCTCTTCAATTGAAACGTTTCATCTCATCTCAATGGCTGCGGCTTAAATGCTGATGGCTTCTGCTTGCCGGGTTTCTGAAACTGCCGCGCCGCATCCCTCAGCGTACACCAGGCCATTCAAATTCATACTGGTAAGCCTTTTTCAACGCAAAAATCGTTCTTTCCTCTTGGGGGGATGGGATACCAACAACATTTGCCTGCAGTGGCATTTTGGTGTGATTGCTATGGCGTGTCCATTCAAACCAAAGCAAAACTGTTTCCCTCCAGTGGCATGCCTTCTTTCTTGGGCTCTCCTTTACGCCAAGCCAACGACATTCTTCAGTGGCATCGCGCTTCCCAATTCGTTGACGTGATCCCTTGGGAGAAAACCGACAAACGTTTTGCACGTGCACAGATGTGCTTGTTGCGTTCCGCCCTATCCCCCCAACATACCGACGTGTTCATCGTGTGGCTTTGTTTTCAACGTTCTATTTCCATCTAAAACGGAAAGGCATCCAGACTCTTGAGGCAGGTGGCTACTGTCCAATTTGGGGTCGTGAAAGGCTGTTGGAGAACCTTGTAGCCAGACAAGATACGGATACGTTGATTGAGGCTAAGGAAATCAAACGTTTTATTATTCCCGCTTCTAAAAACGATGACAAAGATAAAAACAAATAAACAACAAACAACACAAACATAGATACGTAGGTATTGTTAGTAGATACACAGAGATAAACATAGACAATAAGACACAGACACAGACAGAGACACAGATACAGACACACACACACAAGACAACACAGAGACAAACAGAGAGATAATAGAGACAACAGAGACACGTAAAAATAATTACAGACACAGACACACAGAAACACAGACACACAGAAATGATGACACAGAACATAGATAGTCACAGCCACACACACACACACTATATACCATTTTACACACAGAGACGTACACAGCATACACACACACACAGACACATACACAGACACACACACACACACAGACGCATAAACACTAGATTAGCGTCAGACGTACCCATACACACAAACATACACACACACACACACAACGATCTTACTCCACTCCATCTATCTATTTATTATTATTATTATTTTTTCATTATATATATTATTATTATTATTATTATTATTATTATTATTATTATTATTTAGATGTTATTGTTTATTATTATTATTATTATTTATTATTATTATTATTATTATTATTTATTTTTTTATTTCTATTTACTTATTTATTTATTTATTTATTTATTTATTTCATTTATTTATTTTATTTATTTTTCTTATTATTATTATTATTATTATTATTATTATTATTATTATTATTATTATTATTATTATTATTATTATTATTATTATTATTATTATTATTATTATTATTATTATTATTATTATATTATTAATATTATTATTATTATTATTATTATTATTATTATTTATTATTATTATTATTTATTTATTATTATTATTATTATTTATTATTATTATTATTATTATTATTATTATTATTATTATTATTATTAATATTATTATTATTTATTATTATTATTATTATTATTATTATTATTATTTATTTTTATTTATTATTTATTATTATTTATTTTTCTATTTATTATTTCATTATTTATTATTTACTTACTATTTACTTACTACTTACTACTTATTTATTTAATATAATTATTTACTTTATTTCATTTCTTACTTACTTTCTCATTACTTTCATTTCTCTAATTTCTTACTTACTTTCTTTCGCTTCGCCTCGCTTCGCTTTCTTCGCGTTCGCTTCGCTTCGCTTCGCTTCGCGCTTCTTCGCTTCTTTCGCTTTCGCTTCTCTGCTTTCTATTTCTGCTTTCTTTGCTATGAGGTTGCGCCCGCGCCCGCGCCCGCGCCGCGCCCGCGCCCGCGCCCGCGCCCGCGCCCGCGCCGCGCCCCGCGCCCGCGCCCGCGCGCGCGCATATACAGCAAGATTGTTACGCGATTGCCACACGCGCGCACGCGCGCACGCGCGCACGCGCGCACGCACGCGCACGTGCCCACGCGCCCACGCGCACACACCCGCACACACGCACACATTTTGGCTCTGTCTCGAAACAGGGCATCCCCCAAGTCGGCGTGCTTCTCTTTGGCTTCCCTTTTTTAACTTGTCTTATCCTCAAGTGATTTGTCTTTCTAGTAAACCAGTAGGCGATGGCAAGGTATGCAAGGTCATCATACCTCAACGAGCAACTGAGCAACTGGGGGCCTAAAATTGTTGATTTCCTTTTGGTGTCCATTTTAATCCAACACACCTGATTGAAGATTTCCGAGCACCAGCCAGTTTTGACTCGACTCATGTTCGTTGAGTCCTGGAGACTCCAGGTTGACAGTTGTCACGGCTGTTATCCTTTTGGTTTCTTAGATCCAACAAATCCAACATGGATCCAGTGTCTGAAAGAACTGACCTCATCCCAGGAGTACTCCCCTAGGGGGTCCTACGGGAGAGTCCTCCAAATATGGTTGCTGTTGGGTTCCGTGTCAATATGCAGGGGAGGAGCGTTTGTGTGTGTGTGTGTTGTGTATTTTCGCGTCAGAGAGCAAGGGGAAGATCAGATCAGCAAACGCTTTCTACAATGGGATTGCAGGTAATAGCCAGTAGTTTCCCCAATGGCAGTTGGCGGTAGCTGGGTCGGAACTCCGCATCATTCCGCATCCTTTGGCTAGCTTGTGACGCGTCTGAGTCCAATCAATGCTGTTTACTCGAAAGCCTAAAAGGACTCCTTGCTATTGGGATGTGTGTTCTTTTTAGGGGACCTCCAAAATCGTGGCTTTCCTTCTAGTGTCCTTTAAAACCACAGAACAACTGGCACCCTCAACAAAAAGACACACCCACTTAGAATGATGAATGGTCCTTCAATAATCTTACATTTTCAGTTAGTTCAGATGTGCAGTGCTTTCTTTCACGGCTTCACAGAAGGTGCTGGTGTTTGTGAATCGATTCTTTTTCCGGTTGGTGCAGTATTTGTTTGCCGCAGGGAATCAGGCGCAAGGCACAGCCATTGGTTTTCCTCCGAAGGGACCCTCCAAATTGTGACCTTTTGTCCGTCCAAAAGTCAGCCACAAAAATGACACAAAACAATATAAACACATGTCAACACAAACAAATACGAAACAATGTAAACACAATGCGGTGTAGCCGCCCGGGGGTTGCCGCCGGCTGCGACCTCCCCATTTTGGACGGATGGTGGAGAGGGTACCAGAAGCATAGAGATTCGACAAAGTTGGGATGTTGTTTTGGTACGGGCTCCCTTTTATCTTTTTGTTTGACCCCTTAAGGGGGGTCCCAAGAAAAGAAAGGTGCCCCCTTTTGCAGTTGTACCATGTGTTACCTGTTGGTTGGAAACCCACAAGGAGGCCTCGCGCCTGCAGCCACTGCTGGAGCTTCTTTGGAACCTCACCTTCGAGCCAAAGGCTCGTGACATGCAATCGGGGGGCAATCCTCTAAGTGAATCTTCCCTGCGCACATGGAATAGGGCACCCCTCCCCATCGGGGTGATACAAAAACAACCCATTGTCAAAATGAGGAGCGGCTAAAACCAGGGTTGATGAAGTCGTCGTTTTGCGGCCTTGAGACTAGCCACGGCAAATCCCAGAACCATTGGCCGAGTCATCAGCCAAAGCCTAGCGATCTTGTTGGGAGATGTCCCAAGTATGGGAACCACAATTCCAGAATATCACGTTAGATCTGCCTTCAGAAATGGGAGTAGACACACTTCTACCTCCTTGCTCGTTTTTGGGCCCATTTGTGCCCTTCCCCTGTGTGCCCAGGAGTTCCAGCCGAACCAAGCTTTTATTCGCCTGTAAGACGCGCTTCCAGGGCCGCTTCGAACATTTCACATCAAGATGTGTTCGGCTTTGCATCTTGCAATTCTAACGGCCCTGCAAAACCAAGACCAATATGTACTTGCTTTTGGAAGATGTCAATGCCCAATTGTAGATGTGCGTTCGGGGAGCAACCTAACAGTAGCTATGTTGGAGCGGTTCAACTCTTTCCGACACATGGAAAGCGGTGTCAGAATAGGGGACCCAAATTGTGGGTCTTATTTAGGATTCCCTTTTAAAACCAAACGGGGGTCCCTGATTTAAGGCAGACCCAGAGGTCCACAAAACAAGTTGATGGTTGTTCTGGCGAGGTGCGGCTGACAGATGTGTATTTCCTCGGGCGTCACTGTTTTTGGACTGGTCAAGCAATATATTTTACCAATCATATCACATGAACAGCCACCAACCCGCTTCTTGACTACTAGCACTGCACAAATTGGGCCCGCGTGATAGTTTGACTGATCTCCTCCAGAAAGGGTCTACCGCCTTTGGAAGCAGCACTTGTTTTTTTCAGATCATCTAGGGTGTAAGTAAGCTTTAACATGGTTGTCCTTTCTTGTCTACCTTTCTGGAAAAGACAGTTTGGGCTTCTCAAAGTTTGTCAAATCACCAAAAGGACAACCAAGTCCTAAGGATTGTGAGCCAACCAAGGGCGCGACTGCGAGACCAGCCATCTAACCCTAGATTTGCCTAGTGCAACTGAGCCCATTGTGTCAACATTGCCACCACCGCTGGATTTGTGTTTAAAGATGTCATTGCTTACTATATACATGTATACAATACGTATATATATATATACAGAGAGAGGGAGAGACACCGCCGCATGTACACACGCCAGCGCGCTTTCTTTCGCCTCATGGCTGCTTCCTGTAAGTCATGATGCTTACACTGCCAAAGAGTCCAACTTGAGGCATGCCTCTAGTTTTCCCTTTGTCATGTGTAGCTATGCATCGTCTAGCTAGTCAGCTGTCCGCCTGTCCGACCAAGAAACGGGAATTCCTGCAGAATGGCCAAATTCCAGATTCGCACATTGCCAGCCCCGCGAGGTTTTAATGATGTGACGGGTCAAGGGAATCTCTTTACCGAAGGCACCCTAGTGTCGACACAACATGTGTTTTCCCCAAAAGGGAAGAAGGCCTCTAAGATGTCACACCTACCAATCACTCAAGGATTTAGGTCAATTCCATCAACTAGCTGGACAGTATTCTATGGGAATGTGGGCTTAAAAGTCCCTGGTTGATTCAGGAATTCAGGGGTGTGCCTAGGGGGAGGCCGGATCAAATCTGTTGACTGACCGAATCCTCAGGGTGTAGAGGCGGTGGCAGTAGCCTCTTTGGAGCCAGTGATGCGGAAGCACCTCGCAGATGTGGAGCTCCAGGCGCGTTGCACGTGGGAATTGGCATAGAGAAGCAAAGGGCTTTAGGGTTTAGGGTTACTCGCTTTCCAAGTGTTTCTTGCACGTGGGAATTGGCGTATATGGAGAAACAAAGGCTACCCACTTTCCATGTTGGACCTTCGCAGCAAACGAAACAGTTCGATCATTTTGTGTGCAATCCACTCAGGAAGTGAGGCTAAGGGGGACAGCTCTTGCTGGTTCTTTTACACCCTCAAAGAAGGCCAAGAACGACAGCTATCCAGAACCCCCCAACGGCTATCCAATGAGACCCTTTGCAGAGGCCCTACGCAAGTCCCCGTGCATCACCTGGCTGAAACACCAGAAAGCCTACTTGGGGAGTACCGGTGAAGAACCGTGACATGTACCTGCCAGCTCACTTTGTGTGGCAAGCGGGTTGAAGGGGCCAAGGAATCCAGGAACTCCTGTGTGAGAACCCAAAATCCAGGCTGCTCGCACCGGTTGGGAAGCCAGATTTGCCCTGCAATACTTTCTTTCTAGTATAATATAATATATATATATAAATACATAATAATTATTATTGTTTGTTTGGAGAGAGAGAGAGAGATAATTATATGAACCCTGGTATGCACCTGGTATGAACCCTTGGTATGACATCCTGGTTTATTATTTATACCAACATGGCCATGGGATTATAAGTTCGTACTATGTGTAGCGCGGCTTATCCATGAGGTCCCTTACTGGGCCATACAATCTGGGGGAAGTCTAGCAAGCTCCCCAAGCACTCCCATAATGAAGATCTCTTACTTGCGGATTCCTTATTCGGTTTGTGATTAAAGACATGTCGGCGGTCTCCTCCAAAACTAGATTATGTGCTGAAGTGGACTAAATATGAAAGATAATCATACTTCCATTGCTTAAGAATAGTTTATTTCTTTTTATTTTCCCTTGTTGGTATCAAAGGGGATCTATCGCTATTGGACATACGTTTTTTTTCTACTGGGCTTAAGCAAATGGAGGTAGACATTTGCCCAGATGCTATGAACCTTTGACCCGACAGGTTGCCATGTGCGCTCTATTGCTGAACCTCGCTGTGCGGGAGGAGAACCGCCAGTTGAGACACGGCCAGGTATTACATTTTTGTGGTTGGGAATACCGCGTGTGTGTTTTAGTTCAAACACGAACCAACAGGAAAGCCAGCATTTCCGGGGTCCCGCCCCATTTTGACATATACCCATGTTTGCTTGATCATATCTACACAAGGTATGGTGATATATTTTGCAAAATATCCTATTGGAGTTGCCAAGTTGGCCTACAGAAAGGACCAACACTGGCGCTGGGAGTCTGATATTCTTGTGGTTGTGCCTTTGTACCTGTCCAACCTGTTTTGTTTGTTTGCTGACAAGCTATCGTGTTGGTCGAGGTGCCTGGAATGGGCAAATGTAACGTGACTGTGTCTCAAGTTCAACCCAAAAAGGGTGCCCTCAAACAAAGGCGCATGCACTCGTGCGATCCAATCAACAGTTTGGCCAGCACCATCCTGTGCTTTAGTTGCATTCGCACAAACAGACAACATCGCATGCCAACCCCGCAACCCCAAACCGGTTTGTTGACATCCACCTTATGCTTTCGCTAGGCGAAAACAACATGTTAGGGGTTGAACGAAATATCCCCCAGTCATGTTGCGAGTTCCTTGCTTCATGGAGGATCTCTGGGCATGTGTCTTCAATCGGGGACCGCAAAATGACCACGCGCCCCCCCGGATGTGCGGGGGAGCAATTTGCCAGGCTTGTGCCTTTCGATTGTAGCATGTTCCGCAAAAGTAAAAGTTGGCACCCCCCCTGTTGTCAGTTGTCAACCAAGCATGGGGTCAGCATTGCCAGTAATGATGGAGTGATTCCGAAAGATAGCCAGGCACCCCTTGTTCACAGATGTTCCAAGGGAGTGCACGTGAAGTCAAGCATTTTGAGTGGCCACTTGACATTTCCTGAGCGGTTTAAACCGTATTTTTTAAGGACCGGGTGACGCAGTCTCCACCTTTCATGAGATCCGCCCCGCCCCTCTTCAAGGGCCCCTACATATATTGCGTTAAACCACCTGCCTGTGTTCTTTCACAGTATGATCCTCTGGGTGTTTGGCGAAAATTGGGGGGTGCCCTAAGATTCCTGGTTTCCTTACCCTTTGGCTTCCCTTGAAATGGCGACCATTCTGAGAAACACCCGTCCAAGGATTTTGCACACCGGCTTGGCAGACCTCATGTGCCAAGCGCTGGAGATGCACCAGGACGAGCAATTGCTGGAGCATGGGTGCCAGGCCTTGTGTCCCGGCAGGTGGCTGTGGCTCCGGACTTTTGGGCGACAATTGTTTGGGGAAGGTCCCAAGGGCATATGCGAGATGCGTGTTCATGTACGAATTTAGATTGGGAACCACCTCACAAGTGGTGGACATGAATCCTGAAATGATATCCACCAAAGGCTCCCCAAGTGAAACTCACACACACATGGGTGTGTTTTTTTGAGGGTCCCCCATCCCCATTTTTTTCCACACAAACCCGTATTCTGTTTCTTACCCCCTACAAATCAACGCGATGAGTCCCTCCCCTTTTTAAACCGCTTGTATCATGAGGGTTTCCCCAAGTCGGTGGTCTGATGGAAGCAATTTTCTCCATATGGGAAAGCGGACATTGAGGCTGGGGGACTACATGCAAACCTGAGCATGGTCATGCGTTCAAGGCTGATCCATTGTTGGAAGTTGCATGTGAGTTTGTTTCTATCTATGTACATACACATACTGTACGTGGTGAAACCTCTTCAAATGCGGATCATGGTGTCCTGGTGTCCTGGACATGTCCTTCTGCTTGGGGGACTTTTGAGGTACATGCTGGCCTGCCATCCCGCCTTGCGCCCCTCCCTGGCCGCCGCCGGCGCCTTGCGGGCGGCCCGGCTCGCGGCGGCGAGGGGGAAATCGGCGAACTGGGGCGCCTGGCTGCAGGAGCTGCTGATGCGCCTCGGTGAGCTTTATGCCACGGCTGGTGCGACAGCCAGGGAATGACCTCCTTGCGGGTGTTGGGATTGAACCGGAAGGGGATGCCCTTAAAGGAAGCCAGAAGGGATTGTTGATAGGCTAGGGGCATGTCCTCATTTGGGTCGTTTAAAAAGAAGGGGATCTCCCTTGTTAGAGCGGATCCGGAGAACTTTGGGAAACACGCCCCCAATTACAGATTGATCGATCTGGGGTCAACCTTACTGTTTCGGAAAGCACTTGAATGGCTGAACGAGTTGTTCACAGACATTTTCCAAGACTGCTCGGGAGACAGCCCCATGGTGCTAGTTGAAGGAGATTGTGAAATCGATTCTTTTGCATGGAAGCTCCCAGGCACGTTGAGAAGTCTTAGTAGTTTCCATATTACTACCCTCCTGCAGGCTTGCATGGAGCCCCCAACCCCAACCTATTTAGAGCAGCCTTTTTGAAGCGCTCCCATTTTTTGGGCTTTCATGTTGGCAGGGGAGTAGTTTGAGCGAAGGCACATATGAAGCACTGCAACGTGTAGGACTTCACTGCAGCTTGAGTACTAAAGCATGTGACCAGATGGTTGTCCAGGAATCGCCCCTTGCTGCCTTCACCTAATGTTGACCTCGGATTCATAAGCCCCTGTTTATAAATATGGGGGTGTGCCTGGTTTTAGCGGGGATTCATCACTTTTGGAGGGGACCACCCCCAAATCTATAAACTGTTTTTTTTTTGTTTTTTCTCCGGGGTCAACATCACCCATTCTTGTCGCTACAAGGGACCCCTGGTTCTGACACCTACTATCAGTTTGGATTCGTTCACCGTGGCCGCAGAGATAGCTAGGTGCTGATATCACAGCGCAATCCACGATGCTGCACTTCAGTTTCAGCCTGTGCAGGGTTGACTGAGGACTTTCAAAGGAATCTTAGTTGAAGTGACAGGAGCTTAGCCTTGACCCTCCTTGCGGGCTGGCAAGGAATTTGCTCCGGAATTTGTATGTATGATGGTTTGCACAGTTCCACTATCGACTCACTGGAATGGCACGCTGTCACAGATGCGTGGCCGACGCGGGGTCAGAGGTTGTACAGGATGTTTCCTCTTATTGCCCTGGTCTACAGGCGCGTGTCCAAACTTCAGCTGATACATTGGACACTTGACTTATATGAATTAACACAACCATTTAGTGTTATTGCACTCATTTGAATTTTGCTTTTGGGCGCGCTTCCTGACCACCGCCGACAGCAACAAAAAGATCTCCGCTCGGGCGTGGCGACTGTGGGAGCGGAGCATCTGAGGATCTGGAAGCTAACTAGCATTCACCAAGGACAACGCTTTGAAGGTACCAATTCTGATAGGCCTACAAAGGGAAGGCAAATCCAAGTTACCCGCATTTAAGGCCCATGTTCAGATTCGAGTGTTGTTCTTTCAACCCTTGCATATCTCTTTTTCCTGTGGATTCACGATTCAGATCTCTGGTACATAAGCGCCTTCATTCCGGCACAATTTGCCGTAGAGGGGCGGTGGTGAACTTTTAATAATTTGTATGTGTTTTGCCATTGTACAATTTATATACGTACATGTGTATATATATATATTATGATATATATACATACAGGAACTGCAGCCCGACATTTGCGTTTGTGTGATTCCCCAGCGTCTCACCTGCTGTCTGTTCACCCACATTTTACCCTTGAGTGCCTGGCTTTTGAGTTCTCCAATTTTGTAAGAAGATTTGAATTATATAGCTGTCCAAGTTCAGGAGTTGGCAAATGGACACAAACAACTGTAACGGACATTCCCTGAACCTGAACTGCATCCAGGGATATCCAGGAATATCAAATGTTTGTTGGAGGACACGCTGTTGGTGCTCCATGCGTTGGTGACTATGTTGTTGTGGGGCTGGAAAACCATCTTCCTCGAAAGGGGGCCCTCTGGTGGTTTCACGTTAGTGGACGGCAGGGTAGTACTGAGACCAATTTGAGCAGCTCTAAAAAAGCCCCTTTACATGCCAAGCAAGAGTGTCATGTGAAGACTCTTCGTAAGCAAAGCCCTGCACGACGTAAGCCGGTGTAAGCACTTTTGGAGGAACTATGCACATAAGCTCTGCTTCGTGACTGCTTGCAAATGTTGTTGTATTTCCAAAGCACGAGGCTTACCGCACAGCAGATTCAGCAAAACTAAGGGGGTCCAGGCGCGAAAGCATGCGTAAGCAGTTCGCCGCTCTTTGATCTGCATGGGGGGGCAGCACGCACTCTGGAGGCAAGCTTGCGCTGAGCACGAGGGCTACAAAGTGAAGACCCTAAAAGAACAACAGCGCCGAGTTGATCCTTGTGAGAGCCATTCTTTATCGACTTCCTCCTAATTATCCACGTTATCTTGGACAGAGGCGGTTTCCTAAAAGAAGAGCTCGCGCAAGCAACTTGAGGGGAAGCGTTCAAAACGCCGACGCATAAGCAATGCAGAAGCTTGACATGCTTGTTGATTGTCGCGTAAGCTAAAGCAGGGAAACCAACTAGCAGGACGTGCCGTATTTGTACAGTCGCCCTTGCCAGGCAGTGGACGGTGCCATGCGCAGCGCTCAGAGAGAGATAGGGCCCGGGAATTAGCCATCCTACTTCAATTCCCGTTGGTGGCTGGAACCAACACAAGCAAGGAGATTGGAGGTTTTTCTATTCATTCCATTCATTCCATGCATTCCACTCCACTCCACTCCACTCCACTCCGCTCCGCTCCATTGCATTGCATTGCATTGCATTCCATTCCATTCCATTCCATTCCATTCCATTCCATTCCATTCCATTCCATTCCATTCATTCATTCATTCATTCATTCATTCATTCATTCATTCATTCATTCATTCATTCATTCATTCATTCATTCATTCATTCATTCATTCATTCATTCATTCAGTAGTCAGCAAGCCATCCAGCCTGCCAGCCAGCCAGCCAGTCAGTCAGTCAGTCAATTAGTTGGTCAGTGAATTCATGTCTTCCTTTAATCCTTGATGTCTTTCTTTCTGTCCTGTTTGTCCTCCGGTTTGTCCTGTCTGGGCTGGTGTGGTCTGGTCCTGTATGGCACGGTATGGTATGGTCAGTCTTTCTTTTTGTTTTTGCTTTCTTTTCAGTGGATTACCCAATCAGACAGATGTGCTCTTTCCCCCTGGCCACTGGATGTTGGAGGTCCGGAGAGGACAGCCTGGGGTTGTGACTTGGAATGTGTTGGTGGAACATGCGTGTTTGAACCAAGCAACCAGTGGTGATTGGGGGGTGTCCGCCTTTGTAGGACCCCGGCTTTCTTGGGCGTGTTACTTTCTGGCCCTTTTGCGGTGTTGAAGGGATACCAAAAAGAAACCTGCCGTGAGGAGATACCACTTGAGCCACAATCAAACCCGGGTAAGTGAAGATTGGCAACAAAAGCAACCAGCCACAGGAGTTGAGTAGACCCGTTGAGTACCAGGTGTTGATCATAGCAGCGCCCTCGAGACTGGAAACAAATCAACGTGGTTGGTCACCTATGCACGCGAAATGTTTGGGATCCGCTGCGCATTGATTTAGCAAGGGTTAATGTGAAGCCGTTTATGACCATCCTAGAACGAATCGGCTCGGGCTGTTTACACACCTAAGGTGAGCTCGCGTATCAAGCCTACGAAACCTGCTCCGCCAAGGTTCCCCCCCCCCCCCACCAAAGGATCTATCCTTAAATACGGGACAACTGTCGAGACAGTAAGGGGACTACGGGGGACCCTTCCCAAATGGGCAAACCAATGCCTGGGGTAAGCCAGATGGGCTAGTACCCGTCCCCAATCGCTCCCAAATGGTTGTGGGTCAACACCAATGGTACCATTTTGGTTGGTAGGTGAATTCACCACCCATTTTAGAACCTATTTTAGCGGTTGGATTGAGTCGGATGTTCACTGGGGGCGTTTTAGGGGTTTTGACCCACCCCAAGGCGCTGGGAGGAATCCTGGGAGCTCTTTGCCTCGGGCCACCAGGCGGACGGATTTTATTGTTTTTTGTTTGAGGGGGGGGCGGGGGACTAAATATGGCAGGTGGGTCCAAAAACCGGCACCCACAATGGGTTGCCCTGGCAAGTGGAAACATGCACCAAACCCTGCGGTTTGCCCCTCCTGTTTGATTTTGAGCCACACCCATATGGAACAGAGACAAATATGTGACTTTCTGTGTACCCCGGTGGGCCAAGTTATGGGAGTGAGTATTTTTTTCAGTAACCAGATGCCGGACACCAAAATCGTGGGTTGTAGGTTCACCAACCACCTTGGAGGGTGTTCCTTAAAAGTCATGGTGGGTGTGTCTTTGTAGATAGAACCCTTCTTGAGGTTACGACTCATTTTGTGGGCCATTTGAAGTGAGCTGCCCTGCAATTGGTGTTTTCGGGTCCCATTTTCTCTCACTGTAATTCGGAATCGCCATAGCAAACCTGTGGGATATGTTCCACCATTCTGACATTAGGAATAGGATAGGTCTGAATGTGCTGAATTCGTGGTTGGAGCTTCGTCAAGCACCTCAAGCTGACTGGTTCCAGGTAGCATTTCCCTTGCGTTCTTGTCTCTTTGTTTGACGCGGGCCTCGAAGGCCTTGGCATCCGTAGATTTTCCAGGAAGCTGGCCAGGCCAGCGCCCCTTTGAGGGTCCAGGCTGAAGGATCTCAACGAACCCATCCAGAGGGCCCGAGAAGAGCTCCCTGGGGATGGTCACCAAATGTGTGGTTTGACAGCATCCTCAGTGGATCCCACTTGCCACAGTAAAGGCACTTTCCTTTTGGTTCTTGAAGGGCTCCCTTGGTTACCTATACAGCCTATACAGGGAAAATATATACAGGGAATTGGACTCACTGGGCAAGGTGTTTGTTCACACTATGGCCATGACCCACTTGATTTTTGACCATGGAAAGTCTAGGAGGAGAGCACTGGAGGATCCACAAATGTGCTCCCTTAAATCCTGCCGCCTAAGCGTCCTGGCAGGGCGGCCATATTTCCCCGTCCAACACCATTGGGAGATACAGGAAACCTCGCTGAATGGCTTCGAGGCAAGACCTGACAAGGAAGAAAGCTGAGCTGAACTGCTCTTCCCTGCTTGGTCGTTTGCTTCATTCAAGTCAAGTTAACCCAGGATTGATGAAAGACTAGCTTGGTTACTCTGCAGATTGCTAGGGAACAACCAAAATCGTGTTTTGCAAAGTCACCATTTGGGGGACGCTGGTTTTGAGTTCCATATTACGTTGCGGGGGAGTAGCATAATTTTCCTCTTAAGCATTTAATATGCTTTTCAAGCTGGCTCTGGCTGGCTGTCTGATTGCTGGTTGGCTGGCTTGTTGGCTGGCTGTGTGGCTGCTGGCTGGCTGGCTGGCTGGTTGGTTGGCTGGTTAGCTGACCGAGTGGCGATTGGCGGTTTATGTCGCTTGGGCCGGTCTAGAGCAGGTGTTGGGCAACTCTGTAGTTCAGGATGGGTATTGGTTGGGCTCAGGCTAGTCAGAGGCTGGGTTTTTGCTGGTTTTCAGGTCCTGCCCCGAAGCAATCCAACCCTTGCAACGTTACGCAAGACCCGCGCCCAACCCAACTTCGTCCTAAACCCACGCTTGCCCACCCAAAATCAGGCCCCAACCGAAGGCTGCAAGCATTGCTAAATCAGAAGACCGACGCAAATCAAGCCTGAACTAGTTTCAGTCAGACCCAACGCCTGATCTATCCACAAGTGGCAACTTACTACTGGCTAGGAAAGCACATGAGGCTCTCCACGTGTATGCCCCCAAAAAAGCATGGTTATGGGCTTCTCATCAGGAGTCTGGGCAGAACCGAGCTTCAGGCTCAAAGGTGGGGCACCTAGCTTCTTGG